TTATTTTTAATGTACCCATTCTTCTTTATTAATGTACATATGTGAAATGTACCAATTTTTTTGTAAAATGTACCAATTTTTTAACACTATGGATACATTCTTTTGCCATTTATTATTTCTTATTTTTACATAGTTTTTATCCATTTATTCAATCAAATTGTTTGAATTCTTTTATTGTAACCGTTTCTAATAGTATTATAATGAAGGATTTTAAATTTATAGGATTATAAATCTTTTAAAATATCATACAATTAATGTCAAAACTATAAAACTATAAATATTAATAGTAATATAATGAGATGTACAAAGTCAAGGGACCTTGATCAAACTTTGAATATCATCAAGGTTTTAATCAAAGAATGTTAAGGATTAGGGACCGCATCCAAAGTATCACATAAATTAAGTGACGTAATTTAAATGCCTAATTATTTCTTTTTTGACCGGAATAACCAATGATAAAGCAAGCAAATTCCCTTTAGCAATTGGTGGATGGATGTTTCCCATTAGGGCAGACAATGCCTGGTTTTTTATCCTTTTAGAAGTTAGAAGGTAGGTTGATCGGATTTTTCACCACCTATAAAAGTAGGGATAAAAACACTTAAAAACTCTTGCAAAATTATAATATAGCAGCTCAAGTAAGATCGTTCTCCACAAGAATTGAGTGAATAATTTGTATTTAAACTAATTCTTAATTAACTATTTAAAAACAAAGTTTGGAAAGAATTAATTTTATGACCTAAAATATTAAAAACAAAATTAATTAAAAAGATAAAAGAAATCGGCAAGAGCAAAGAAAACAAAAGAAAACAGTTTTGAAAATAAAGTTAAGCCCTAGGGTTCCGCCGTCACCTTAACAATTCTATATAATTTTACCAATTATTTATGAATTACACGTGTAACTTTGAAGGCTAGGTTTTGCTAATGCATATTCTCCTTGTGATATTCAAGCAAGAACATATATCTAATATGCAACCCGTCTGTGATATTTAGATCAAATACGAAGATGCAAGACTCATTAAGTTTTGTGAAAACCCTTTGAAAAATCATGCAACCCCTAAGAGCGTGATATTCCTCTTAGGTGATATTACAATTATTAACCACAAGAAGCAATACTCAATCCTACCGTATTTCATCCGATTACTTATCTCAACATCCTAATGGTAGCTAAGCATTAAGACATAGAGACAGTTTAAACACAGTGATTAATAATTCAATGTATGCATGCATAATATCATAAACAATTGAATAAAGACTACATATTCATGCTAAGGCTCGTGGTTTCGCCCTAGCAAACGAAAATTAGTTAAGAATGACCAACAAACAAAAGGAATTCTATTAAAATAGAAAAATGATAGAAAACACCTTGAAAGAAAAATACAAATCATCAAACCCTAGACAAGTTCTCCAAATTGATTAATCTCCTTAATAAAATGTCTTAAAATAAAACAAGGAAACATAGTAAAATAATAAACTAGCAAATAAAAGGTTTCCTATTTTAACTGAAATTCGAACTTTTCAGAAAATCAGACTTTTGACCGACCAAATCAACCCCGATTTGTTCCCAAAAGGTCTCTTTTGAAAGCTTAAGTCGTCCCCAACAAATCATCAGAATGAATCTTCCTCAAAATATGTCATCATAACCTCCAAAATAGCCAAAACATCCAAAAACGTCAATCTGGAAAAACTGCACGCTGGGCCTTTATTTCATTGCCACGGTCAAACAGCTTAATAGAAAAATCTGATACTTTGATACAATCATCTTGAAAGACTCACGAATATCATCTAATTGGAATCACTCCAAAATTCGTCCGTTTGAATACTTTATGCTCCAGCATACATTCGAAATATAATTCAAAGTATCAAATTCACACAAAATAACCAATAAATTAATATTAAGATTATGGTAAAATATATAGTATAAAATCGACTCATCACATGCCACAATTTTATCAAGAATTCACTATCAATAAATAGACAAGCAAACTACAAATTGGTTTACTATTATGTCATTTCACTTTGCTAAAAAAGGTTCTAAGTACAAATCCTATATCCGCTTGATTAACGAGAAAGCAAAAGTACAAAGATAAATAAGAATAGTAAGAAAACTTTATGGAATGAAAAGGAATTTAGAATGCGAATACTTCAATCAGACACTAACGACAAAATCTACCTCACAACTTAAGTTACGTAATATGTGTTGCATACACAAAATAATAGATCGTCAGTAACACGATAGTTTTCTCCAACTCATAATATGTACCAAAAGAAAGGACCCAAAGAAAAGCAGAAAGAGGAATCTATACCATTAACACCAGCTAATTGGCTCCTCCAAGTTAGGGTCAATATTTGATCCAATGAATTGTCTTGATTGGAGAATTGGGGTAGGGAATTTTAGCATATGATTTGAGTCTTGTGGTTTACTTCATGGAAAGTTAGAAAGTGTCTACCAACAAAAAATAATACTTAATTGTGATACACAAATCTGATATCAAACTTATAATTATATTTCGAATTTTTGTGGAAGTGCTTATGTATGAGTCTTGGTCATTATATTTTAGTGGCAGATGCCGCAGAACCGAGATCCTTTCAGGATCTCTATGCTCGAAATTCAAGAATTCAGATATTTGAATCGTACAAAAGAAAGAGATTCGAACTCTAGATTTATAAGAGGTAAGCCGATGAAAATGGGCTTATAAAAACTAAAAAATTTAAAATGAGTGGTTTGTATCTCTAAATTTATTGGTTCTGAACACAGAAATTCAAAGAGCCTCTTAGTTCGACTCCGCAGACCGATTCAATCAACTTTAGTGCATGGCAGAAGTCCACAAGGATGGGGACCCTTTTTGGTCCTTTTGCACGACTCCAGGCGTACCAAACAAATCGCAGAATCGCCCAGAAAAGCCACCAAGGCAAATATGAATCATGATGCCAACTAAATATTGGAGTTTTATTTCTTCGAGGTGAATATTTATTTTTGAAATTAGGGTTTGTTCAATTACTATTCAACTCTTTTTAGCTGCTTGTTTAATCTTGTGCCAGCCTGGGCCAAGTTCTAACTTAACTAAGCAAGATCTTTGTTTAATTTTGATTCTTATTCTCATTTTCTAAACGATGCTTAATTTTAATGAAATTGACAGGTTTTGTTATAGTGGAACAATCTAGTTACCAAGGTATCGATTATAAAGGAAGGACTTCTGGTTCTAAAACTAGGGTTAGGGTTCAGGAATAAAATACATAACTAAAAGTCATGATACATAGTTTTAGTACCATAAATCTAACCACTGAAACTGTAAAGGAGAAACTCGCATCACACAGTGTGTTATAGTTGTATTACGTACATATACTCGAGTTATTTGCAAAGAAATCTTATATTAAATATCTATCATTTCAATCGTTTTGTAATGCTCACTACAAGAAAACCAACTTTGAAGCCTAGATACTACAAAAAAAATCATCCCTACGATAATTTAGCTGGAAACCGTGCTAGCTAGTTACGAATTTGTGGGAAGAAATAAACAATGTAGCGAGAAAGATTTGAACACTAAAAGGATCGAATCAAACAACAAGATGATCCAGATAGACTATGTGTCTCCACCCTTTGTGCATGAAGAAAGCAACAATGGCCAGGTTGTATGAGAATTGGAGAGCAAGACGACCCTCAAAATATAAAGTAACATATACCGGTAACTTTAGTTTCATAAATCTCAAGAAATAACCCCTTGTATATGTGGCTGTGGTAGTAACACCTAAAGCTACTTTGAATAATATTTCTCTGCGGTACTGTTTCTGATAAACATATAGTGCTCTTGAAGTTTTCTGTCAGAAAAGACGAACAAAAAAACACACACCAGGTTTTAATATGTTAATGCAGATTAAAGCTGCAGCAGTATATCATCTTTAATTATTGGTTTGCTTATCATTATCATATGCTGAATTGAAAAGGGAAACAGTATCCCTTTGCCTGATTGACGCTCTTCGAGCACGTGTAGAGTTTACTGGAATATTTAGCCTACCAACCAATAGATTCACATTATCCTCTAGAATTGGTCGTCAGTTCAGACAAGGTTTGATCGGGGTGGATTATCAATGAATTTTCTAGAGAATGCAAACTCAAATCACGGAAAAAGAAAAGGAACAAAATTGTAATGTTGTTTTAAGCTTAAACACAAGTTTCTGACTCATCATATAATTCATCTCGTCTTCTTGTTTAATTTGCATTCACTGTTTGTTGTTTCTTAAGACCAGTGAAGAAAGTTGAGGGGGATTCACTCCCTTTTTCGATGTGAAATTTACTCTAAACATGCATATTTCTTATTTGATAATATATTCTCCAATTTCCAAATTGAATGTTTTACTCGCGAGAGGTGGAAGTTAAAAATGATTGTTAAAATTACTAGGTCTTGAATAGAAAATGAATGAGTGTTAACGAATGGTCCCTTGCATTTGTATGGCAGTGAGTGTTAACGAATGGTCCCTTGCATTTGTATGGCAATGAGTGTTAACGAATGGTCCCTTGGCATTTGTATGGCAGAAATTTAGTCGTTGGAATTTCAAGTCTCCGGAGTCGTCTTTAGGTTAAGGGGTGTAATGTGACATGTCACACTCATCAGTTTCACACTACTAAATCGACACAATTTGAATGTAAAATAAATGGTCTAGGTTTCACACAATATACCTGCCAAATGATGAAATTGGCACTAATCTGTTAAATTTCATTTTCATCATGCTTTTATTCAAAGTAGCTCTACTACTTTGAAATTGCACGATTGTACATGTGTTTTCATTTGTCAAATGGACGGTCAAAAACAGTGGTGCGTTCATAGGACCTTGTTAGATGATAGATATTAAATGTGAATATAAAATTATACACAATCGGTTATAAGACAGATTTAATTTTTTCCTGACAAACGAGAGCAAAGGGTCCCACCGCCTTCTGAAATCTGTAAACTTTTTTCAGTGGCATCTAATGATAGAGTACTGCTCTTCAGCTTTGGCTTTCTTTCTCTCCTGATGAGAGTCTTAATAAAAGCGCGCATTATACCACAATAAGTTGAAGACCAATATTTGTTGGTATTTGTTTAATATAATCATCAAGTATTTCAATTTGCTGGTGGATATTGTTTGATATCTTTCTAGCTTGGAATATATTGATGGAGAAGTGCCCTAGTTCATCTACAACTGATAGGAAAACCATAGAAAAAAACAGAAGAAATCAAATGAAAGCTCTATTCTCCAAGCTTAATTCTCTTGTTCCCCACCAACGCTCAGGGGTCTCTCTCTTTCAATCTTCTTTGTGGGTTTGTTTTTGCATTATAGATCATGTTTTCTTGTCAGATTGTGAGTCTGTTTATGTAATTGTTAAGATTATAATCCAGACTCACAGTTTGACGCCATATATATTTGTCTGCCAATACAAGCCTGCTAAAAGAAATGTGTATTTTGTTCATGGGATTATTGTTGCAGGAAGCGGCATCGCTGCCGGATCAACTAGATGATGCTGTAAACTACATTAAACAACTACAGACAAACTTGGAGAAGATGAGGGAGAAGAAAGACAGGCTAATGGGGGGAATCGAGAAGAGCACTCATTGCAACGCAGGCTTTGGCCGCTGCGCTGGACCAATAACCGGGGGATCACCATTGGTCGAGATTCATGAAACGGGTTCAGCTCTAGAGGTTCAGATGATAACTGGGTTGGAATACCAGTTCATGTTCAATGAGTCGATTCGCGTGCTTCATGAAGAGGGAGCTGACGTTGTAAATGCCGGTTTCTCAGTTGTTGAAGATACAGTTTTTCATACAATACATTCCAAGGTAAGGAAACAATTAATTACTACACAATGCATCACCATTTTATTAGAGATATTTATGTTCTTCTGAATGTAATGTAGATTGAAGAGTTGGCACCAGGCTGTGCAGCTGCAAGGATTTCGGAGAGACTCAATAAGAAGTTTGTGAATGATCAAGCTGATGCACTTGGAAGCATATAAGCACTCATTTTTCAGCTATTGTCACCATTTGGGCACCGTGACCAATGCCCATTTTTCTTGTAGTGATTTCTTAATTTGGTCATCTTTTCAGGCTGTCTTCAGGCGGAAACTTTGTCAATCAAGCTCAAATGTCCTTGTGATGATCTGAAGCTAATATTTTCTAAGTTCTAAGCATTCTGAAGCTTACTGCACTTTACTAATAATATTGAAATACATGTTTAAGTCGATCTTAGCATGAATGAGCTAGCAGCTTAGCACGTGCGTGCACACACACATAAAATTTGTACGTTGTTATCATATGTACTACTGTTTCGACAAAAATGAAAGACGATTTGATGCGAAACCAAGTGATGTCCATAGTGACATGACAAGCAAGAGCAAGGAGAAGTGTACAGTAAGTTTCAAGAACTAGGTCATTGGCATGCAGAGTAACAAATAGAAAAATGAAGGAAAGAAGCAATGCAAAAATATTATGCCTTCCTCGTACGTGCACAAATTAAGTTATAAAATTTAATGAATATTTCTTGTAACCTGGCTATATTTTTGGCAAATGTTTTCTTTATGGACTTAACCTTTCCGTGAAGCTCACAGCATTCTCCAGTCTCTTAGTATATGGAAATTAATGATTCTCGAGGATGATTAATAGGGTTCAAAAATAGCTTAATATATAATTAGTATTGTTTAAGGAATCAAATAGGATTTGATTTCAGAAAACGAATTAAATGTTTTGTTAAGCAGATTATAGAGTTTGCAAAGAATAAATACTCCAAAGCTTCATAAAAAAAATGCCAGAATCAGATTGATTTAGGGCTGGTTTGGTATTGTTGTGCTTTGAAAAAAAACTGCTTCTGCTATGCTGTGAAAAAAATCATCTGTGAAATAAAGCAGAGTGTTTGGTAAACTTTTTTGTAAAAGTGCTTTTGAAAAAAAAAACAGTATTATAGTGCTTAGTAAACTTTTATGTAAAAAAGATGTGAAAAGAAGCCGGTTTTTCAAAGCTGGATTTTGCAGCTTTGCGTTTTTGGCTTTTTTTCACCCAAAACTGTGAAAAAAACTAAAGCTGAATGTTTACCAAACACAAAAAAACTCTCAGCTTTTTTTGATACCCACTTTTTTCAGAATCACCTCGGTACCAAACCAGGCCTTAGACAGTAGATACATGTGGGATATAACTTAAAACAATTCGTCCTGTATGTTTTTAGTTAGAGTTACACATATTGCCGACTAAAATAACAGTCGTGGATGACATTTTAATTTATAATCTCCTCTAATAAAGTAGAAACTTGAAGCCATTAGACCAAACGATGGCTTAAGACATACTGCCTACTCGACAAATTGCTAATTTGATGCGAATGCAGCATATGATAGCACAAGTAGAAAAAAGTTGGAATTTTTTTGTAACCAGCTATTGAAATCCACATATGAATTTAGAAGAATCGAATGAATCCATACCGCCCATGCCAATGTTGTATGGCTGTCGTCAGCTCTTGTCATGAGATGAGTTGAATATCAGAGTGCACAACGAACGACTAACAAAATAATAAGAATATTATTAAACAAACGAGAATGCCGAAAATGCTATTAAACCCTAAGAGACTACATTGTGATTGACTTATCTTCAATGAATAACAAAGCACCCTATTTATAATAAACTAACCTTAATCTCTAACAAAACCTAATTCTAACGGGCTAAGCCCATAAAACCAAACATTCAAATAAACCAAAATACTAATAATTTCCAACAAGATGTTTGGTCAAGTTTTATAACGCGCAAAACTATCATTTTATGTTGCTGAGGCATGTGCGCCTAAGGAGAAAGTCTTCGCAACTGAAGTGAGAGAAAGCTAATTAATCCATCAAGAGTCATAAGTGATGCATAGGACAATAGGAAACCGTTAAAGCAGATAAGATTTGAAGATAGAGTGATTTCAGAACTGAAAAGAAACTACGAAGTAAATATAATTAGCACTCGACCATCAAATATGTCTTAAAAATGTACAAGTTAAAGGACTCGAACTAGTGCAAATAGACGAATACATTGTTTCAGCTAAACTCACCTAATTCACACCTCTTTGATTATGATTTATTTTATGTTTCAATTGCAGTATTAATAAAAAATTAATTCTAATAGGATTTGAATTGTTAATTAGGATTTTCAATTTTTATTAGAAATTGAGTAAATTGTAGCAGTGGTCCCTTAACTTTAACTCAATTGGAGCAATGATCCCTCAACTAAAAATTCATTACCCTTGGCCCCTCAACTCATCAAAACGTGCAGGTATGGTCCCTCAACTAAAAATCCATTAACATGGGTTCCTCAACTTTAATCCAACTAGAGAAATGGTCCCTCAACTTTAACCCAATTGAATCAATGGTCCCTTAACTTTAACTCAATTATAGCAATCGTCCTTCCAACATAACTCATTTTAACAAAATTCTGATGAAGTTGACAAAAATGACCATCGTTACACGTTTTGATGAGTGGAGAGACCCCAATTGTAGCAATAGTCCTTCCAACATAACTTATTTTCCAACATAACTTATTTTGACAAAATTCTAACGAAGTTGACAAAAATGACCATAGCTACACATTTTGATGAGTTGAAGAACCAATTGTAATGAATTTTTAGTTGAAGGAGTTGAAGGACCATTGCTACATTTTACTCTTAGAACTTAGATTACAAGCTTGACGAATTACTTATTTTACAAAACAATCTTAAAAGCCCAATAGAATATAATTGGGCTATAACCGAAGCCCCATAACTACAAACAACGGCCCAGTGGTATAACGGTAAATTACTCATAGTATAAAAAACCGTACGAAAACTAGGGTTTTAAGCAGAAACCCAATCCACTGCCATCACAGCCAAAATCTTCTCTCTCCCTCTGAATCTCACAAATCCAGCAATCAACGATGGTCGAAGGTTTCGAAGTCGGCGGCGTACCTTTCAACCCCGACGGGTGGGGCCCACCGGACAGCACCACCACCCCAACCACCTCTTCCAATTTGCCCCAAAACGTCCCCTTCGCCCCCTTCTCCCGCTCTGAGAAGCTTGGCCGGATCGCCGACTGGACCCGCACCTTCAACAATCCTGGCCGCTCCAAGAACCCATCTGACGCCGTCTTCGACTTCTCCAACGACGAGTCCTTCCCCGCCTCTGCCGATGACGACGCTTCGTTCCGTCTCGTCGATGGAAAGCCCCCTCCGCGCCCCAGATTCGGCCCCAAGTGGCGGTTCCAGCAGCAGCGACAGCTCCCCCACCGCCGCGACGAGGAGGTCGAGGCCAAGAAGCGCGAGGCTGAGAAGGAGCGGGCCCGCCGCGACCGCCAGTACAACATGAACCGGTCCAACGTCAACGCCCCTCGCCGAGAAGCCGCGGTTTTCAAATCTTCCGTCGATATCCAGCCGGAGTGGAACATGCTGGAACAGATCCCCTTCTCCACATTCTCTAAGCTCTCGTTTTCTGTACCGGAACCCGAGGACCTCCTCCTCTGCGGCGGACTCGAGTTCTACGATCGCTCCGTCGATCGAATCACCCCCAAGAACGAGAGGCGGCTCGAGAGGTTCAAGAACAGGAACTTCTTCAAGGTCACCACCACCGATGACCCCGTCATCCGCCGCCTCGCAAACGAGGATAAAGCCACAGTCTTTGCCACTGATACGATTCTCTCGACTCTCATGTGTGCACCCAGGTCAGTTTACTCTTGGGATATTGTGGTGCAGAAAGTTGGGAACAAATTGTTCTTTGATAAACGTGATGGGTCGCAATTGGATTTGCTTTCGGTCCACGAAACCTCTCAGGAGCCCTTGCCTGAAGCTAAGGATGATATCAATTCAGCTTACTCGTTGAGTGTCGAGGCTGCTTATATCAATCAGAACTTTTCACAGCAGGTTTTGGTTAGGGATGGAAATAAGGTCACGTTCGAGGAGCCTAACCCCTTTGCGAATGAAGGAGAGGAGGTTGCTTCCGTTGCTTATCGCTACCGGAGGTGGAAGCTTGAGGAGGGAATGTATCTGGTTGCGAGGTGTGAGGTGCAGAGTGTTATGGAGGTGAATAACCAGAGGTCGTTTTTGACCCTGAATGCGCTTAATGAGTTTGATCCGAAGTATTCGGGTGTCGATTGGAGGCAGAAGTTGGAGACTCAGAGGGGAGCTGTATTGGCAACTGAGCTGAAGAACAATGCTAACAAGTTGGCAAAATGGACTGCACAAGCGCTCCTGGCCAGTGCTGATTTGATGAAATTGGGTTACGTTTCAAGGGTTCATCCTCGTGATCACTTTAACCATGTGATTTTGGCTGTGGTTGGATACAAGCCCAAGGAGTTTGCCTCGCAGATTAATCTGAACCAAAACAGTATGTGGGGGATTGTGAAGTCGATTGTGGACTTGTGTATGAAATTGAATGAGGGCAAGTATGTGCTTGTTAAGGACCCATCGAAGCCCCAAGTTAGGATATATGAGGTGCCTCCAGATGCTTTTGAGAATGACTATGTGGAGGAGCCACTGCCCGAGGATGAGCAAGTTCAGCCACCGACGGAGGAAGGGCAAGATGCTGAGCCGAATGTTGCTGCTAATGATGTTGAGGATAAGCCGGTTGATGCTGTTGAAGCTTGAAGGGTAATGTTTCTTGCTGCATTGTCTACTGTAATATGTGTTCCTTATTGTTTTATTTATTTTGAAAAATTTGGTATATGTTTAAACATTTTAATTACGTTCATTGTTGCTTGTTGGTCTTTGTCTATTTGATTTCCCTGTGAATCATGTATTAGTTCTAGTTTGTTAAAGTTTTTGATGATGAATGTAATGGTTTACTTTAGTCATTGAAACTTCAACTGACTAGACAGTGCCAAGTTCACAGATCACTTTTTGCCAAGTCGATTCTAGGCCCATTCTTCATCAGATATAGATTCCATTGTTCCTGTATCATGGATTAAACGGTGAGAGAGCGGGGATCAGGGTATGATGTTAGGAGTTATTATATTAGAGACAAATTGGATTGTATTTATCCTTTTGTTGGGATACTTGTGTATTTCCAGAATCACTCTGCCAAATTGTAGAGTAGTTGGCTGAACTCTTCTCGTTACTTATCTTGAAATGAAATCCTGGGTTCTGGGATGAATGTGTTTAACTTGTTGAGGTCACTAATTGATATTTCACATGTGTTACCTGTTGTATGATGCGGTCGCACTTTTGGTCATAATAACATCGGATATCTCTTGATCATAT